TATTTATGCTGCATTATCAAAGAAATGACCAGAAATAAACCTGAAGAACTCAGACACACACACACACACACACACACACACAGACACTACTGTGTCTCGCCATCCATTCCCATGAGAAAAACAAAAATAGAAAAGAAAAAAGTGTCATTCACAGCCTAAAGAACTTATAATAAATCCCAGCTACGTCATACGTGCACAAACATTAGGAGGCTTTGTTGACAAAGCTGCATTTCAAGGCTCAGTGTTATTGGCCTGAGGGGCACTCACATGATTTGTGACAGACAGCCAAAAGTTTTCTTTCCTAGTCATGTCGTCCACTCATTGTCAGCTGATAGCACGCTCGTTACATCTGCTAACGGAGAGGTCGCGGCATACTGCGTATCCACTATGTCCTCAATCAAACCACAATCGTGTATCTGTGACAGTATAGTGTCCGTCTGAACAGTGCTGATTAAACTGTAATGTTTGGGACTTCATCCAATAACACGAGGCGGAGTATCACTCTCTTCCTGGAAGACGGCCAGCGGAGGCCCATCGACAGATCGGCCATTGAAAGGCCATCGGCCGGTTAATGTCAACAACACTTGGAGCTGTGCTAGACTGAACAGACTTCCTATAGCACCCTCCTCCACCTCCCACCCACATTTGCCTTACATCCCCCACCCCCACCTACCCCCGACACACACCCACACACACACACACACACACATACACACACCTGCACTGCCCTTCATCTCTCCTTGTACTCATTGTTTCTTGTCATCACGTCGGCCTCTCTCATCCCGTACCTCATTCCCCTTTCCACCTCCTGTGTACTCGTAGCTCACCGAGCTTTAGCACCATCAACCACACATCTTTTATGTAACCTGTGATTGTGTGTGTGTGTGTGTGTGTGTGTGTGTGTGTGTGCGCGTGTGTGTGTGTGTATTCTGGGAAAAGGGAGAGGTCTGGAGGAAGAAGTCATCGTTGATAAGTGTGTTGTTCCTGTCAATGTTCCCACAGTCCGCTGTGCTGAGAGGGGTGGGGACGGAAAACGTACTTCCCCCAGACACACACACACACACACACACACACTGCACGAACACACAGAATCCTTAAAGCTACACTGATGGTGTCAATGGGACATTCAGTATGTGGCAGGTACTTCCTGTCATTGACTATCTCATCAAACAGGGAGCTAGCTGGGAGTTTTCTGCCCCCCCGGCCCAGCAGAGGTATTGGCAAACGCTCCCGTCTGAATTGGCACTTTGCTGCTTCGCTTCGTTATTTACAGAATCAGCTGGTAAATTCCAAATGGTGACCAAACAAAACGGTAAACAGAACACGGACGAGGAGCGATTCTAAATAGAGCGCGGACAATAGAAACAAGTTCAACCCTCAATTTTGAACGTTACAGATCAAATCTGACCAGAACGTCATCGGTGGCTTCGCTATGGAGCTTTTGTGCCTTGTTTTACTGATACAGATTTGCTGAGGCTCCAAAAATTGACCCAAAAGGAGACAATCTGTCCTCCCTTTAGTGAGACACGTTGAATAAAAAGATCTGAAGCGAGGCTGCCTCCTCACTTCTTCTTGCCAGGTGGATGTTGTTGCCTGTCTTACGGGCGCTGCTGTTTATGCAAAATAAATAAAAGCTGTCAAGTCCAAGATTAAACAGAATTGAAGTCTTCTCTAATTATTCTAAGAGACACGTCTGATTTCTGGGGCCTACATCCCCCTCTTTGATATTGTGCCGGTCAGCTGCACTCACAGCAAAGTCAAAATCAATCAGCATGATTGGAATTGGTAGGAAAACCGGGTCAAAGTGAGTTGGTTTGCCTATATCTGGACCATGAGTGTGCATTTTTTTAAGACAAGGATTTGATTACCTGACCTAAAATGTGTTTATTCATCAGCAAATGACTAACATTGTGCTACAAAAATGCCTCTGATGCTCTGATCACAAATAACACGAATGACACCCACCAGCCAATTACATCCAGCAATGTCCATCCCTCGTTGAACACGAACGCTGTCAATCAAAAGAATTGCAAGTTGCATGGTAACAGCTACAGGCGAAGAAAAAGATCCAAAACTCAACACAAGCAAATCCGGAGCAAACAAATGAAGTCTGGCCTCAGGTGGTTTACTGTGAGCATGAGCCGGCTCTCTCTCTCTCTCTGTCTTCGGTTTAATCGACTGCTACTCTGTGACAGCTTCTACTTTTCACTCTTTTGAAAAAAATGTGCTTTTTATTTCAGCATTGACATTATGTTACCAAGTAAACTGCAATAAAAAAAATCCAGTTAACATGTAGCAGCACCAACAAGACCGTCTCTCCACCGACTGTCTCTGCCAAGTCGTTCAGTGTGTGGATGATGGAAACCAGGTTAAGGTCATTTCGATATCTAGGTTAAAGTGATGCAGAGGAGGAGGAGGAGGAGGAGGAGGAGCACAGAGAGACAGAAAAATAGAGACTATACTGCAGCAAGCAGCCTGGTCCACTAACCTCCTTTGGATCTCTCTGTGCAGTATCCTGTGTCCTCAACACTTTAAAGCCAATCTGTGTAATTACAATTATCTGTTGTTAACCAGCACACGTACAAAGAACACACAAAAAGCTGAAAAACACGCAAACAACACAAACAAAAACTGACGCACACACCCTCCATATTAACTAACGTTACACTTTCACCGACAGCCCTTTCCTTTCCTTCTGCAACTTAAGTTTAAATCACATTTCTATTGCGTTTTGTTTTTTTTGTTTTTTTAGCATTACTATTGTTTTTAATTCAAATCTACCTGTGCGGAGAGAAGATGTGCAGCCACAGAGCGCTGATCCCTCCCGGAGCTCCCTGCGGCCGACTAAACGGCTAATAACCGGGATTAGGTTTTAACGGCGGAGGCGTTAACATACCCGCTGATCCTCTCCTAATTGTCTTGTTCTTCTTCAACGTTCACCACGGGGGGGTGGGTGAAAAAACGTGGCCGCAGCGGCTGCACCACCGGCCGGCGGGACGAGGAGAAGTAGAGGAACTGGTGTCCGCGCGCTCTCTACAGCAGTAATAACGGTACCGGCAGGCTCCGGGATGACATTGAGCTCCTTTTTTTTTTTTTTACGCGCCAGCTTTTCCAACCGGCGGTTCCCTCCTCCCTCTCCCTCTCTCCCCTTCTATCCTCTCGCCCTCACTCTCTCTCTCCTTTTTTTTTTTTTTTTTTTTAAGGCACGCGTGCTGAATAATGCAGGGCTCGCGAGGTCCCGGGAGTGTTTTCTGTCCCGTTCCAGAGACAATCAGAGAGCGAGCCGCCAGCGCGAGCCGCCAGCCAAGCACAATGCGGCCCACCCGGACGGATCAGGTTACCGCCGCCGTATGCCTTTCATTCATTTATTCAGCTGCAAAACAATCTGACTGCGGCCCAGCCAGTCCCCCCCCCCCCTCCATGCTTCTGTATCCCACCTCTCCAGCTCGGGGCTACCTTCCCTCAGTCGAATGTGCTCAGGTGGCATTCTCTTTAGACAAACAAAAACAAACTAGAGAACACTCTAGTACAGTGAGCTGACCCACACAGCCCAAATGCACATCAGTAACCTAAAGACTCGACTTGAATACAATTATTTTCATGCAACTTGAATGCTTTTCCGCTACATTTAAAGGGGAACTATGGATGTTACGCATAAAGTCAAGTTCGCTACATAATTGCATGACGGGAAGTGATCCAGTGTTTTTCTTTTTTCGGGTGTGGACTCAGACCATTCTATTTTCAATCAATGCCCCAGCTTTATGGAAATGTGGCACTAAATTGCTGCAGTACACCTTTGTGGAAAATATGGTAGCATTTACCCCACCCTATGTACCGTATGTTAGGCTATTATACAGATTAAGATCAAATAATAATAACACTCATGGGGCCATTTTGCAGAAGTAGTCTTACTTTTGAATACATTATGCGAAGGATATTAAAATACTTACTTACATAAAACTTTTACTGGTAATGAGATATTTATTTATTTGTACTGTAGTTTTGCTACATTTACTAAAGTATCTGACCTCCCTTTGTTTACACCACTGAGAAAATGAGAAGGACACCAACCCTTATTATCAAATAAAACAATAAACATATGGATAAAAAAGTATGTACATGAATGAATGGATACATATTACAGCATGGCTACTGTGTGCCAAAACATCCTTGAATCAATATATACAATTTATAGAAAACTAAATATATTACATGGGACTTATATGGTCACTATAAACTTACATGATTGAATATAACTCCCTGTAGGAACATTAAATTGAAACCGTAGTAGATACGAATACCCAACAGTACAGTAAGGTCATATTACATTTACTGGGTTCCATAAATACAATGGGTAGTTCTAAAAAATATTACCGAGACACTGTAGAAAGGAAACAATGTGGACCCCCCCCCAGCAGATGTAATTCAGCACAAACCGTCCATGTGAGTACATACAGTACACTGTGCAGGAGCCTGAACTCACAAACCCAATGATTATCTCACTTGAAGCAAACACATTAGTCATATCTTCTGCTCCAAAAAAAAAACAATCTCTGATATGATACTGTAGTTGTGTCACTTGCATTTAGTTGTACTTGAGTTGATTTTTTGATTATAGGTAATGTTGTTGTGGGGCACTATGGAGCACTATGCTCTCTCTCTCTCTTTGTTTGGCAATTCACAGACACAAAAGGGATTTACAAAAGGATAATCAACTACACTAACTATGGTAGAAGTCATCAATCTGTGAATTTTTTGGGGGGAATTATACATTATACGTTATACATTATACATGCACATAGCTTCAAATTAGCGGCCTGAATTTGATCTACTCTAACGATGCACTACAACAAGAACCTGTATGGTACAGACGTTTCCAGTTGAGGAGAACTCACAGTCCTGACTTGTCCACATTCTCCTACTCTGTGCTTGTCTTGTTCTTCCTGTGATCTATTGTTAAGAATTGCACCATTAGATGTGCATATAAACAGACTACTCACCATGGCGGTGTGAGGATTCCTGGTCGGAATGGGAGCTTGATACCCATTTGCCGTTATCACGGTAACCCCCGTTTTGCCGTAACCTATGATAAAAGAAGATTTGAGTTATTGAAACCGTTGTCATCATTGTTAATTATCATCTACCTTTCATATTCATTTGCACCAGTGGCTGACCTTTTGTGCCTTCTATCTTGTTTTTGAAGGAAACCATATTGTTGGAGTTTCACCCCAACAATATGAAATATGTAATGCTGCAATTGTGAAAACATGAAAATCCATCTGTCTTCCATCTGTAAATCTGTCGCTGTGAAAAGCTATTGACACTAACATGCATCTCACCTGGAAATATGATGATATGCATAGCTAGTGATATTGACATTATGATCATCTGTCACTCTGGAAACCAGTTAGTTATCATAATCGTGAGAATTATATTTAATGCAACCAGAGCAACTGTTTCTGCACGACTAAATATTACGTGTTCATTTCATTCTCTCGCTGTAATTTATTAAAATTATTTTTTTAATCTCGACTCTGTCCTTTGCTGCTTTATTGACATTTCAGGGACAAATATTGTAATTTGTACTCCATTACATGTATTCAACAGCTATAGTTACTTTGCAGACTGACATTTTATACATAAAACATAAAAGTTTATAAAACTTGGATGAAACTACCCAAAATTTAAATGCTGATAAAACCTTAATTCATCAGCAATAATAATCCATTATTAATAATATTGCAGTATACATAATATGACACTCATAACCAGGACATTCTGCATAATAATGGCCTTAGGTATAGAAGTGTCAATATTTGCAATGGTTTTAGTATGAGTATAAGTAGTAGTGGCTGTAGTTGTAGCAGTATTGGTAGCATCAGCAGTGGTAGTAGTGTATTAAAACTACTCCCACAACACCATGAAAATGAGATGTTGTGATCCAGGATCACTGTACATCTAATAATTCACCTGATCTTTACTACTTTCTTTTTGCTTTAAATGTAACGTCCTATTGTGTTCGATGTAAAGTTTAACTTACAGGAGTGACACCACCATGCGCAACGTTACCAGGCCAAGAAGTAAGCTGTGTTATTCAACCCTGACTTTGATTATTGCACCTCCTTTGGCTGAGTCCAAACCACAAAGATATGATGCATGCTTACAGTGAGAGCACGTTTTGTATGTGTGTGTGTGTGTGTGTGTGTGCACGTGAGAGGTTGTAATAATTATCTGCAGTCATGGTTTCTGTTAAAGATACCAGACTGTCATTGTGTAAAGATAAATCTATTAGTGCTTATTATCACGGAAAACACACCCATCCTCTGCGCAGGAAGAGTGTGTGTGTGTGTGTGTGTGTGTGTGTGTGTATGTGTATGTGTGTTTATTAGTCCTGTTTTCAGATGCTGGTTGTCATGACGTCTGTAACATAATCATTTATCACCTTGCATTATGTCCTCCGAGGAAGTGTGCGTCATGTTTGTGTCGCTGCCCTCTCCAGATCATGTGTGGGTTTTGTTTTTAAACGCAGACCATCAACAGATAGATGACATTATGCATCTGCTAAATGTAAAAAAAATCTCGACATCTATCTCTGATTTGAGAAGATGCTGATGTCCTGAATAGTGTATTGTATGTAGTACACCATGTGTCATGTGTGAACGTTATCCTTGAAAGTGTCCTTGAACGAGGCCACCTCCGTGTTCATGCAGTGTGCTTTTGAATGAGTCTCATACCGTACATGTGCAGCGTTTTAGTGTGGTAGGCACATTGCTTTTCTTTGTTGTCCTCTCTGTTCATTGCTGTGTGTTATCAGTGGTATCAGAGATGTTAGATGAGTGAGTATGCAGTGAAAGGATTTCTTGCAATACCTAATATTGATACCAGGAGGGGCTCCTCGGGCTCCAGCAAAACTGCATGGGTGTATCTAGACTGATCCAGCCATCTATGCAGCTGTTTATCTATCAATATTCCTACTGTCCTTCCTGAAGCACCAGCTGCTTTCCTAACCTATACAAGTCCTAACCCTCCTATGCCCCTAACCCTCTTTTGAGCAGTGTGTAAACTCATAAGACACCACAGACACAGTACGAGTCCCAAAAGGAAGATTGCTGTAATATTAGAGCAATTTCTCATGAGCAGTGGCTAGTTTGAAAGAGAACGCTTACGATGAAAACTCTGCACTGCATCCAAGTCCTTGTACAGCCATCCTTTACTCTGTCTTTTAATATGTCTAACAGGAGCAGACTGATTCTATGTGGCAGTTTACCTTCTTTTGAGAGTTATCCACATTTCAGTATCAGGCTTTTATCTAAAAGCTACAGGCACAAGGCCTTGCACAAGAACACCTCAGAGCTGTTTCCCCATCAGGCCACACTGTCACTCAACGAATAACTTGACATTATTTATTTAACTGGTTTTCAAGCATCTATTGCATGACTATTGCCACCTGAATCTAGTAAAAATTATGAAACTAATACTGTCAAAATATTCTGAGTGAATCAAAGCAGCAATTATGTAATGTCCAAGTCACTCTGGCTGTAGTTTTAGTTTTGCACTTAAGTCTTTGACACATAAGTGTTGTATTTATTATAATGGGCTATAAACTGTACGACAGAAAGTTGCACGAGCTGATTTCCATGTGACACTTTGGACAAAGTCTCACCTAAATTCAAGTGTAAAATGTGTGTGTGTTTATTAGTGGCAGTGGGTATGAAGACAGATAGGGGATAAGTAAGGACAGCTTGTGTTCTCTTTGTCAGCAGCCAATGAAAAAGTGAATGTTAGAGACAGATGGAAAGAACAACAAGCAAGAGACGGCAGGAGGGCACTGGAGAAACTCAGCTTTATTGACCAAAGATAGAGAGAGGATACAGACATCAGAGAGAGAGAGAGAGAGAGAGAGAGAGAGAGAGAGAGAGAGAGAGAGAGAGAGAATGTGACAGAGTGAGTTGTCTTACCCATAGAAAGAGAAAGGAAGAGAGAGAGAGAGAGAGAGAGAGAGAGAGAGAGAGAGAGAGAGAGAGAGAGAGAGAAGTATGAACAATAGAAAATGGCTCCTTTTTGTTTTAACAGTCCATACAACCGTGAGGGCAGGCAGACATGAAAAAGAGAGACCCCTACAGATTGAGAGGAGTACTGCAGGCGTGGCAGTGGGCTGGTAAATTCAACTATAGTCTGTTGTTCACGTACAGCTCCTTGCATTACATCAAAAACACGCGCACACAAACCCACACAGGCTAACTGGATCGGTCAGGCTCCATTAACTAGAACTCAGACGTACTCTTTTTCTTCTTCTTCTTCGTTTTTTTTTTATGTGTTTTGAGATTGTGATTGTACTTCCTTTTGTGGGTACAAACAGTAAGTGCTTCTTTGCCCCGTTGCACATCATGTGTGTGCATTACACCTCGGGGAAAAACTAACATGACACCTTTTGAGAATACACTTATCTGCATAGCCTCCTCAATCTTGAAAAACAAACATTCATGCAAAGAATAGGTTTTGGCAGATTTGGGACACTGAACGCGATGATGTTAGTAATTGTCCCCAGACTAGACTTGCAGTTTGGAGATAAACTTAATGAGGGACAATAAGAACTCAGAAGAACCATCTCTGTGTTTTTTTCCTCCCCACGAGATCTGTTGTTGTAAATTCAAACCAAGAGAATAAACATGTAAATTTGCTAGTATTCTTTTGTTTTGTGGTAAAACAGTTATTTTGCAGATGAATTTCAACAATAACTAGCTTTGATAAAAAAGAAAAATTGTAATTACAAAGCAAATCAAGTCAAACAGATGTTAATGCTTTACCTAAATGAATGGAAACCAATGGCTGCCTCGAGGGAATAAGTGTGTAAAGTGTAAACATGTGCGTCATGCTTTGGAAAAAGGTCGTGGCGAAGAAAAATCGGATGTATTGTGGTTAATAGGCTACCATGCAAATCCAATGGTGTGGTTATTTAAGGTCCCGCCTCTGCACAATGTTTAAAGATCCTCGGATGCCTTCGAGGGCCAAACCGCAACACGTCTGGAAATGGTAGCAGCCGCAAAGAGTTCAGAGAAGGTGGCGGTGGTCAGAAGAGGGGGGGGGGGGCAAGTTGTGTAGGCGTTAATTGTGAGATTACACACAGCAAAGCAGTGAAGTTAAGAGAATTAAAATATACAAACTTGTGTTTGTGCACTCTGTACCCATAATAATCAGAATTACTTCTAGATCTCTATATAGATGTGGAAAATAAAATCGTCACTAAATAGAATATAGAGCATATTTACATTCTGTATCTACACAGGAAACGAGACCCCGGCTGGGCCCTGGTGGTGGCCAATCACACAGCCAGCTGGACTGACTGACAGCAGCAGTGGTCAATCACACTATAGCACAGGACCTGCTCCGACAGGACAGCTCAGAGGTGGGATACAGCTGTGCACAGAGCCGTGTAAGGAGAGGACTGATTCACCCATAAACCTTTCAATGCTGGAAATATACTTTTTGTTGCCAAGGAATATTGTGACGGTCTTTCGTTCTTTTTATGAGCGTTATCAGAGTTAGTACACAGTGCATAGAAATATGTTCTTTACAAAACGTCCAAGGCCAGTAAAGCTGTCAAGCACATGGGTGAAGAGAGAGAGGGAGAGAAAGAAAAAGTACTGCACTCTGAAAAAAAAGGCTGTTGAGGCTCTTCAGGGTGGGTTAGCGAAGTGTTAGCTGTCATTTTGTCCCCCCACCGTTTTGTTTTTTCATGATGTGAGTAAAAACATTTTGATGCAAATAAATTATATTAGGACCCAGGTTGGATTTGAGCCAAGGACATCTCGGCCCATGAAACACACCTGAGCCACACAAACAACACCAAATCACATTATTAGAATCTGAAGGGCCTCTCCAACCTCTTTTTGTAAATGTGCAGACATCTTCTTCGATCACACATCTGGCCCATATAACTTTATTGATACTCACTCTAACAACAGGTATTTCTTCTGTCGTGCACAACGGAAAAGTGGAGTCACTAACTCTCCGAAAATCCATTCACCAGATGCCTATTTAAGCATCTTCATCATCTCTACTCCATGTAACATCAAAGAAGTGAAGCAAAAATCCTTCCAGAGCATCCATCATTATTCAATGGAATGAGGATGATTACTGCTTTTAAGGGCTTTTCTGAAAACCAGCCAAGTAAATGACCTAGAGTGTAATATATATGTATATATATATATGATGTAATAATGACACCCAGGCCACATTATTTGCAGCACCCTTGTAAACGAGGGCCTGGTTGGTGACTACAGCATGAGCTGGCAGTGTTCTCAGTCTCTTTGAATTGGAAAGAGTATAATGGATCTCTGGTGGCCATCTGCAGCGACAAAGGGAATTTAATGGACCAAAAGATGAACATGAATTGGACACAATCTTTCTCTAAAAGCTCATTTGAGCACAGCTCCCTTTAATTTAGTAATATGGTAGTGTGTTTTTAGATTCATTACGTAAACATTTGTGCCCTGCTGTTAGTGGCAGTAACCCTCGTTTTGGTTTCAGAGGTGGAAATACGTGTTCCTTCGCTGCCAGAGTAGTCATTAAGCTGCCGTTTGCTTCCCATGCTCTACAGCCTTTAGACACACTGGAAATGTTGGCTGTATAGATCCTACTGGCTGCCAAAAGGTGTTCCACTGCTTCTTATCGGCTGTTGAGTTAGGAATTACTAGAATAGGAGGAAATGGCCTCAGCAGTGGAATAGCTGGAGTTAATGGACAAAATGACGGAGAGAGAGAGAGACAGAGACAGAGAGAGGAGGAGAGAGAGAGAGAGAGAGAGTTACTACTGTTACAACTACAATGTAAAAAAAAAAACTCAATTTCCCACGGAAACAGCCATCCCAACAATTCAATGGCCTTTTTAAATTTAAAAAAAGAAGAAAAAAAAAGAGTCCAGATCACAACGGCAAACTGAAATAAATGCCTAATGGCAACTTTTAATTATCTCTAATTTGTTGTTAGGACTATCAATGTGGAAGAATGAAGAGGCACATAAAGAAACCAAGGCAGCGAGTACCCTCCTCTCCACCCTGGTCAGGGAGAGTCGGTACAAGGAAGGGGGGGGGGGGGTTGTTTGAGTTTGTAGGTTGGGTGTGCGGTTGTTTGTGTGCGTCTGTATGTTTGGAGACAACAGGAGAGAATTCGTCGAGAGAAAAAGGAAGTGGGAGGTGACTGAATTGAGAGATTAAAAACAATTACTGAGACTGTGTCTGTCTTTTTGAATGTTTTATAAACCGGCTTATTAAAAGGTGATGATCTGGCTGATTGTCCAAACATACTGGTTGGTTAGACAGCATGGCATTGTCTCTTATTGACCACTGAGAGTAGTTTTATATATTACCTGGTTTAAGCTGTTTGTCAACACCAGCAAATTCCACCATCTGTATGTCTGTTATTAATTAATATAGCAGCGTAACAACAGCTAAAATCCAGTGTAATTTGAGTTACGAAATGAACTGTGTTGTCTGAGGAGATGGGAGGCATGAAGGCAGAGCCTCCATGTTGACAGAGAGAGTAACGAAACAGCAGAGATGTAGAGGTAATAACGTAACGGAGTAGAAAGTCAAAGGTCAGTCAAGAGTGTGTGTGTGTGTGTGTGTGTGTGTGTGTGTGCATGCCAGCCGATCAGAGTCCAGAGGAGGAGGACAAAGGCGGGGCTTCTGTTAGTAGCAATCCAGAGACAGAGGAGAAGAGAGGGGTGTTGTGGGTAATAATAAAAGGGGTGGAAGAGGGAGAAGATTCAGTCACATGAGGATGCAGCACTCGCAGCGTTTCCTCTTGTCTGTACCTGTGGCGGGGGCGAGGCCGGGCGGGGGGCCCGTGTTGGCGTCGGGGTTGGTGGGGGGCGAGGAGGTGCTGTCAGGCTCGAATGACAGTTCCGTGCTGGCGGCCTCAGACGTGGCCGGCCGCCCCGACACGAGGTCAGCCGCCGTGCCGTCGATGATGGATTGGTCAGTGACCGTCTTCTCCCTCAGCGACTTCTCGTCGTCTTCGTCGATCAGGACCACCTCGGCCTTCACCGCGCCATCGAAACCTAGCAGCCGCCTGCTCTCGCTCATGTCCTCGACGTCCTGGTAGCCGAGGAACACCATGGTGATTGGGTGCTCTGCGCTGGCTTGCATTGGGGAGCTGAGCTCGCCGCCCGGTGGGGCTGAGGTACCGGGCTGGGTCGTGATGGGAGCAGCGGGGGGCATCATGCCAAGGCGGGCCTCCCTCTGGAGGGTGACCTGGGCTGGTGGGCTTGAAGGAACGGATGGCGGGGCGCAGGAGGGCGGAGACAGGTCGTCAACATCCGCAGGGGAGACGTAAGCCTGCGGGGCAGCTGGGGTCACCGTCACCTGACCCTTGCTGCCGTCTCCCGCTTGCACGACCGGTCTGGCAGCTCGCTGGATCAGCTGGTCGACCTGCGCGGAGCTCCAGCCGTTCTCCATGGTGCTGGTGGACACGCCCCCGGAGGAAGTGACCTCGTAGACCACTTTTTTGCCATCGTCGTAGATTTTGACGCCGCGCGATGCCGAATCCAGCGGGCTCACGCGGTTGGCTGACAGGATGCGCTGCTCGCCGGTCTGCGCGTCATGCTCCACGTTGATCTCCATGGCAAACAATGCTGTTAGGAGGGGGGGGA